TTTTTTTTTTTAATGAGAATGCATTTTTCTCTTCAGAAACATTTACAATTTTACTTTTTTCTGAGTTTTCTAAGGCTTTATGACTGTTGTTTCCTGTCAATTTTTCTCTTATTCCAAACAAATGAGGATCATTTCCTTTGTTCTACAAATGTGTCTTTCATCTTTTCTCTGGAAATTCTTTGTCTAACAGTGCTTCTAAAAGTTCTTGGAAAAATAGAATTAAAAGATACTAGAATTTTTCCATGTACTCTTTGAAGACTCTTTGTGTTTTTAATGTCTTTATTTATTTATTTTTTGAAGTTACTACCTAGTTGTGTGAGACCTGGTGTGGCACTGTGAGTTAATACACCAGACTGCAAAGCCATTAGAACTGCAAGGTTGGTGGTTCAAACTTACCAGCTGCTCAGCAGAAACCCTATCCAGGGTCCCTATGGGTTGGACCCGACTCAATGACACTTAACAACAACCTGGTCGTGGGGAGTCATGGTGTGGTGCTGTAGGATAAAGCACTGGACCACAAGCTCAGTTTGAACCACAAAGTTATCTGTTCAAGCTCACCAGCCACTCATTGACAACCCTATACAGGGTTGCTATGAATCAAAACTGACTTGATGGCACTTAACAATAACAATACCTTGTAGCCTATTGGGTTATGAGTTGAGCTGCTATCTATCTACCAGGTCAATGTTATCTCTCTTCTCTTCTTCAACTAACCAGAAGAATTGTTGGGTTTTCCAAGGGGAGAGGCAATCAATTATAAGCTCACAATCCCTCTGGGTTCAAGGAGTTTATTAGCAATGCAAAAGTACATTCTAGAAGGGAAGAATGAGTCTGTCACTGAAGAGAGGAGAAGACTCAGAGAGTATCTTAGGAATGAGTTTTCATTGATTGGAATGTAGTATATGGTAATGTGTTGTTGTTGAGTGCCCGTTCCAACTCATAGTGACCCTGGATAGAGTTTCCAATGAGCGACTGAAGGATATTAATTACTGACCTTGTGGTTCATACTAACTTTTGAGTCCAGTGCATAAGCATATAGTGCCACACCAGAACTACAAATATGGTAATAAAAGGGAAGAATATAAATGGTTCTTCTGGGAATGGGAGGAATTCCTGCAAATGAGGTACCACCCCTTTCTTGTCCTAATTTGGTCCTAGTTAGATCTGTCATGGCCCTGATGGATGTGTGATGTAAACTGCACCCTTCAGGAACTTGTTTCCTAGATTGGGCATGTTCCAAATCTGGAGAGTCCCTTACATTGCATCTTTCTTCTCTTGTGATTTGCTGTTGGCCTCACAAGTGAGGTGCACTTCACTTCTGATCTGGTTTCTAATTCCCTAATTTCTCACTCCCAGGCTGTCCCTGTCAGTCAGTAGTTTTGTATATTGAGATAGTGTATGTTTTGTTAAACAATTGGATCTAATTTCCTTAAGTCTTGGTTAACAAAAATGCCTGTCTGAAAAACCTTGGAGGAAGTGCTGAAACTTCTTTACTTTTTCCTTTATCCTGACCCTAGTTCCCTATATTGAAGTAGATAATTGCTCTAAGAAGACCTAATAAGGCATAAAAGATACTTTCATTCAAAAATCACATTTTTGATTTACAAAGAACATCCAAGCTTTCAAGTGTGACTGCTAATTATATCAGCAAGGTTTTCAGAAGAATTTAAGCAAGACACACAGTTATTTTACTAAAAAACCCAAAAGTGGAATGCTGTCACAGAGATGCATTTTTATGATCCTTTTCAACCTAGAAGCTTAGGATTCACTGGGTACAATTTTAGTAAAGTGGTACTTCAATACAAGCATATCTTAGAGAAACTCTTTGTTATGCAACAATTAAGTGCTTGACTACTATGCAAAAGATTGGGGGAAAGCTGCTCAAAGGGTGAAAAATGTGCCAGTTGGCTTCCCAAGAGGTCACAGCCAAGGACACCCCATGTAGCTGGTCTATTAGTTTATACAGTCACTGTGTGTCAGAATCAGTGGCAACATCTTTTGTGTTTCACTTATTTTTTAAGTGTCATATAACAAATTTATACAACTACAAGAAAAATGATTTAGAGTCTGTTTTGGGGCTTAGTTATTGTTATTGATTTTGCAAATTTATATTGTTTCAAACAGTAAAATATGAAAGATAAGTAAATTCCTTACATTTGTCACACATAAATCAAAACCTTAATTTAATAAAATATTTAATACCTCACATAAATGAGCATTTCACATCAATACCATGATCATGTAATTGCTAAACAAGATATGCTGGCACATTTTGTCAATCTTATCTGATTTTTGGTACAGAGAACAATGTTATTTTTCTAAGATCACACTGTCACTAGATTTGTTGACACCTTAACAGATGCTTTTCAAGTGATTTTTATGAATCCCAAAGACTATATTACATTTTATGGACTGTGATTTTTATGAATTCAAAGGAATACATTAGTACATTTTAATTAATTGTTTGATTTGTTTAATAATTATATTAACATAACCATTAAAATATAGTAAGACATAGTTGCAATAAGATATTTATACATACATTCTCAAGTGTCATATACAAATTACCTGAACTTACAAAGAACTAGTAATTTAATTTAATTATATTTTTTTACTTAAGTTCACTAAAGATCAAAAGAGCATATTTGTTCAGTAGCCCTATAGTTATGAAGTTATTTATTTTAGGTATTAGAAAAATCTCCCACTTGAATCTTTGAGAAGTATTTTAGAGAAAATAAACATAAAAATAGACAATATCCCCAACCCAAAATTTATTACAGTCCAATCAGTTCTGACTCACAGTGACCCTGTAGTAAACTAGAAAGTAGATCTGCTCAAAGGGTTTTCCAGACTGAAATCATTGACGAATCAAACTGCCACATTTTTGTCCCATGAAGCAGTTGGTGAATACTGATTGCTGATCTTCAGGTTAGCAACCAAGCTCCATTCACCAACAAACTTCCTGATGAATAATGAAAGTATCTTAAAATGATCATGAAGTTAAAACTTGAAAAGCTATAATAATGATACAATAAGCAGCAAATTAAAAATGGACAACTTGATAATATGTGTTGGGGAAAAAAAAACCCAACAAGTGAAGAAAAAGGAGTGTCCGCTTTTTGTTTATAAATAAGATTCTTCTAGCTCCTGAATTGGTACCATCTCCTTCTCTACTTCCTGTTGAGCTAGGAATGAAAATCCATTGGGAGCATTAATAAGAATAAGCATATAAAGAGGTTGTGTCATCAGACTGCCTTCTAATCCAACATGATATTTAAGTTAATTATCCTATTCTCATCTTTAGATTTTAAAGTTAAATCATTTTCACAGAGTTCTGTTATTTAACTTAAATCCATCCTTTTGATGTAAGTAGCATTGTTCTCATTTTACAGTAGTGGACCTTAGGGACAGGTGTTTATGTATATTCAGGAAACCTGTACTTTCAATTATAATGTTTTTAGATATTAATCTAAAAATTAAGTATAATTTTTAGATACTTAATGTTTTTCTGTCCATTGATCTTTGGGAATTTTGGAATCGATTTTAGTGGTTTTATTTATTTTGTTTGCTTGTTTGTTTCTTCTTACCTGACAAGTTTAGTTAACCAATAAATGAAACCATATCTTCCCATTATTTACAATGGAAATTGCATCCGCATGGACTCAGCTACTTTGTCACAGCCTACCCGGTCTCAGGAATTCTGGATCCCGAGTCTGTTTGAACTGAAAAATCAGCAATTCAAACCCACTATCTGCTCCTAGGAAACTCTATATGAG